GCCTCAGCATAATTTGAAGGACCTTGTAATGGCATTTCTTGTTCACCTTCCTCCCAATTGTGCATACCTTCTGACTTATCAGATTGATATTGTGAATTTCTCAGAAATAATGGTCTGAATCCCATACTTGGTCTGGGTGCTTTTACTCCATATCTACTATAAATCTGTTGATATACTTCATGTGTTGATGACATGTTTCTTTTCCTTTGATTTTCTGGACATGTTCTGACTCAATGATAGGGAGAACTACAAACGTGGCATGTGACTGCATCATAATTAATGAAAACTAAGCCTCGATTGTTGAAAGAGAATTTTTTTCTTAGGGCATTATTAAAGTCGTTCTCATTATCAAAAAAGACAAATGCAAACCTTTTTTTCTCATAATTTTTTGAAAACCTATTCTTAAATACAAAACATGATTTCGCCTTCATTTGTATGATAATATCTTTCAAATCTGCAGCGTATGTACCTACGGGTAAATTAGCTAATTTCAACCTATATTTAAAACGTAAATTCCTTTCGTCCTTAGTTAAGTTAGATGGAAAAATCCTAAACGCTGTCACCCACGTCTGCCACCCGTGGATAAACACCTCTTTCTCATTTAACTTATTTCTCGTTACTTTGCTTGGTTTAGATTTTGTTTTTCTTTTAACTTCTCGCTTTCTTTCTCATATATCCGTAGTATTTATTCTCAATACTACTGCTCATTCATAATATTCCCAAAATATTATGCTGCCTGTAATATTTATTCTTTCAAATATTACCATCTTATTTCTTATAAACTGCGAGAGTTCTCCTAACTTCTTATATTTCATACAATAAAACGAGAATAACTCCTCTTACTTTACTTTTCTGGACTTAATAATAATATTAATTAATTCTCAAGCGTACAATGAGCATATTCAAGATAACTTTTAATAATTAATATTTATTTTATTAAATTTGAGTCAAAACTGACTGCGGAATTCCTAACGAATCCCACCTATATTTATACATTTTTAAGAAAACTATTTCTACCACTTCTAACTTTTCTACTAATAAAAATTTAAGAACAATAAGAAAATAAAGATATATTATCATATGACTATCTTGTGACTAAACTAAACTAAACTATAAATATTATTTTATCGGTTAATTATTTATCCTTCGGCTAATTATTTATCCATCGGTTAATTATTTATCCTTGTTCTATTCGGTCTTTTATTCATCTGCTCACGTGATTATCCTGATTTCTCGGGTTACAGCTATCCCCCCCAAGAAAAATTTGAGTCCCATCAAATTCTAATTATAACTTCGAAACTTGACCTGTCTATATATTCCTTCAATAATTCTCCATTTACTGGCGTTTTCTGTATTCTTCCCTCCATAGTTTTAATTTTATAAGATCCTTTAGAAATTATTTCGTGTATATAATACGGTCCTTTCCATTTTTCTTCTAGTTTTCCAGACCATTGTTTTTCTTTTGCTGCATCATAATATAGTACTTTATCCCCTATTTGAAAGTTCTTTTTCGTCTTATATTTCTTATCATGATATTTCTTCTGTTTTTCTTGAGATTTTTCTATATTCTCTCTGGCTCGGCTTCTAATGTTCGGTAGATCTTCCATTAAACTATTAATCCTTTGTGTTATTGTAACATTTTCATCTTCCATATTTAATAATGTCATCATTTCCCTTCCATATATTAGATATCCTGGTTTTAACTTGGTCGAATCATTCTTATTTGTTCTATATGCAAATAAGACTCCTGGTATTCTTAAATCCCAATCTTTAATGTTACTCAATTTTGCTAATGATTCACATAGTGTCTTATTGAACCTTTCTATTAATCCATTCGTCTTCGGGTGATAAGGTGTCGAAAAATTGTGTTTTATCTGAAATTCCCTCATTAATAATTCTACTAATTTGTTATTAAAATGACTTCCCCTATCACTTAATATCTTCTTTGGACATCCGTGTCTACATATTATATCTTCATAAATGAATCTTGCAATTTCTTTAGCATCTGCTGTTTCTAAGGCTCTAGCTTCTGGCCATTTCGTAAAATAATCCATTGCCGTAACTATGTATCTATTATTTCTTTCTGTTATTGGTAACGGTCCAACAACATCTATTCCAATCTGATAAAATGGTTCTTTAACTTTTATTACATTTAATTCGTGTTTTCCAATCGGTTTTCCTCTTCTTTGACAACTATTACAAGATTTAAAATATATTTCTATATCTTGTATCATTCCATTCCAATAATATTTCTCTCTAATCCTTTCATATGTTGCATCTATTCCAAAATGTCCAGATAATTCATGGTCGTGTGCAATATACATTAATCCTTCAAACTCATATTTTCTTATTACTCTCAATTCTCTATTATCCTTTATTCTATATAACAAACCATCTTTAATACTATAATGTTGTTAATTATCTATATTTTTAATTATCTCATTATATTTATCTTCTTCCATTAATTAGTATATCTTCTATTTCTTCTTCAAAAGGTAAAATAAACCTAATATTTTTATCTTCAAATAACACGCAATGATAATTAGTATTCCTATGTATAAAGTAAATATATATTCCTATTCCAATATTTTCAGTAGTCATTTTTATTTTTCCAATAGCTTTTAAACTAGTTTATATACTTTTTTCCAACTTTTATCATCATTTTTAATTTTAATTCTCATATATTTACCTTTATTCTCATAAATATTCTGATGCTCTTTAAACATTTTCACCATATCCATATATTCATCTTCATTCAACGTTTCATATGATGTTTTATGTCCTTCATTACTTTTCTTAGTTTCTCTTCCAATATAATTATTCCAACATTCTTTATTCTCTAAGAAAATTATTAAAGCATTATCTATAATATCTTTATATTTAAATATCTCATTCTCCATTTTATGATTACCATATGGAGTAATATATACTCTGTCAAAACTTTTGGTCTTTTGATAAAAGTATTCACAATATGGTGACTTATCCAATATTATAATGTCTTCATCTGTAAATACAACAATTCTCATATTAATTTCTTCAACAACTTGTTTACTAAATAACCATTCATATTCTTTTGAAGGTTCCTCAAATCTCTTATCATCATTTCTTCTTCTTTTAAACTTATTAAATATTATTTTTAAATCATCCTTTTCTTTTAATCGTTTAATTATATTTTCTACTATGGTGGATTTCCCTACACCATCAACCCCATCAACAATAATAATCTGTGGTTTACTCTTCCTTCCTAATTTCTTTAATAATTCTTTTTCTGTCTTTTCTTCTAAGTTCAGTAATATTGCTTCTTTATCATTAAAATATTTCATATCATCCCATTTTCCCTTAAATCTTCTAGCGTCGAACCATTCATTTCCTGATCTAACATATCTCAGCTTTTTCTCTTTATTATATTCCATTTTCATTATTTCTTGAAATAAGACTACAAGGTCCCTTTTTATAACTTTATCTTCAAAATCTAATCTTGATAACGCATCTGCATTCTTATTTTCTTTACCAATTCTATGTATTACTTCAAAATCATAATGTTGTAACTCCATTACCCATCTTGCTCTTCTTCCTGTAGGTACTTTAGCATTCATTAATCCTTTTAACGCAGCATGATCCGTTATAACCGTAAATTTTCTTCCTGCTAAGAACTTATGGAAATACTTGATCCCCCAGAATATAGCTAAACATTCTAATTCTGTTATTGCATAATTCTTTTCTGCTCCCACTAAACTTCTACTAGCATAGGCGATAACAAATTCTTTATTTTCTTCATTATTCTGAGATAATACTGCTCCTAACCCTTCTCCTGATGCGTCTGTAATCAATATAAAATCCTTTTCAAAATTAGGGTGATCTAATACTGGTTTCTCCATTAATCTTATTTTTAATTCTTCAAATGCTTCCTGCTGTTTCTCTGTCCATTCAAATGGTACATCCTTTTTAACTAAGTGATATAAAGGATTTGCTATTTTCGCAAAATTCTTTATAAATCTTCTATAATATGAGCACAATCCTAAAAATGATCTCACTTGTGTAACAGTTTCTGGTATCTTTATTTCTTTAATCTTCTCCACTTTCTTTGCATCTGGTTTCAAACAATCTCTTCCAACTATATGTCCTAAAAATTCTATATTTCGTTCACCAAACTTACATTTCTTCAATTTCACAATCAAGTTGTTTTTCTTTAATTAGTTCAACACTTTATCGATATGTTCCACATGTTCTTCAAAATTTTTTGAATAAATCATTATATCATCTAGATATACTATTACAAATTCTCCAATATATTCTTTTAATATCTCATCCATTATCCTCTGAAATGTTCCTGGTGCATTCTTTAAACCAAATGGCATAACATTATATTCATATAATCCTTGTGAACATATAAATGCTGTCTTTTCTTTATCTTCTTCTACCATTTCTACTTAATGATACCCTGCCGCTAGATCCAAACTCGTAAACCATCTCGCTGTTCTATATTTTTCTAATAATTCGTCTATTCTTGGTAATGGGTATGCATCCGACTTAGTTATATTATTCAATTTCCTATAATCAATGCAAAATCTATAATTTCCTGTTTTCTTTCCTGCTAGTGTTACTGGAGACGCCCATGGACTCCATGACTTTCTAATTTTCCCCATTTTTAATAACTGTTCAACTTCTTTCTTTATAAACTTTCCCTTTTCCTCGGTCTCTTTATACCTCTTCTGTGCTATTGGTTCTTGACCTTCTTTAATTTCTATTTTATGTCTAACAGTGTCTACCATTCCTAATTTTTCTCCATCGTATTCAAATATCTCTTCATAACTTTTGATTAGCTTTATTATACCATCCTTTCTTTTACCTGTTACTTCTCCCAAATTTATCTTTTTATCGAACTTTTCCCATTTAGTTTCATTTTTATCATTTTCATTTATCATTTTAAAATTTATTTATTATTTTATTTCTTATTATTATTTCAACAATTTTACATTTTAGGACAATTTTAACCCTTTTTATATAATTAAATCCTCATTTTCACTAGATATTTCACTATCATCAGACGAGCTTTCTTCACTGGAACTTTCACTATCTTCTTGAGACTCATTTTCTTTTACTACTTCCTTTTCTTTTATTGCTTCTTTTACTGTATATAACTTCTTTCCTTCTTCTTGTTCATAATCAGATTCTCCTGATTCACTTTCATAGTCGGATTCTTCTGACTCTTCCACTTGTTTAATATACCACACTGGTATGTCTATTATTTCTTCATCATTTTCTAATTCCAATATCTTTTCTTTATAGTTGATATTTGCATTCCATTTATCCAATAAATC